TGGAGGTGGACCATGGTGGAGGTGTGCCTCATGTTCATGATCAATTTAAAAGATGCGTAATTGTTTCCATCTGCAGGCTTGTTTATTTTCGTTACAACTTCCTCCTTTTCTATTAAAGAAAAAATAAAAGGTTTCCCCTCCGGTGCATCGATCCTCATTCTGCCCTCTTAGTGTAGCAGTTGTCGCATAAGAGCCTTGTAACCGATGATCAACAAGCAGAGAAATGCTGAGTGAGATAAAAAAAAAACAGATTGATATGCTTTCAGCACAATGAAGATTAGATCGTGTATCTCAGTCATTTCTGAAACAATTTATGGTCTAGTGACCTAAACATGTTCAGCACCTTGGACAGAGACTTCACACTCCTATAACCTTAAAACACAATGTCAGGACCACAAATCTAGATGTATTGTATTGGAATGGTAATGCATCAGGTTAAAGAGACGTTTTGTACGTTTTTACTGAAAAATATCTTTAAAATAGTTTCTTTTATTTGACCCTTCCCAACTAAAACATTGCTTGATGAGCAGACTGATGCGTCGTTTCAGCACCAAAGCATCTGCGGTAGATAATGTTTCCTGTAGTTTGTGATCTCACGTTTTTCAGTCACGCAATATCCATATAAAACACTTTAAAGTTCAATTCAAGGAGATTAAAATCCACTTTCTTCTCTGCCAGGCTCAAGGAAACGTCCCCCCTCTGGCCTACCACAGCTGCAGCATGTTCCGGGGGGAGCTGTTCGTGCTGGGCGGGGTGTTTCCTCGGCCCAACCCGCAGCCCGACGGCTGCAGTGACTCTTTATACATCTTCGATCCCAACCTCTCCATCTGGTACCAGCCCATCCTCACAGGAGACAAACCGTCCCCCCGATCAGGGTATCATGCCTGCATTCAGACACACACGCGATTAATGTCAACACCCTGCATCTGTCTATATGTGCTTCTTTTTTGTTGTTGTTTTTCCTTCAGCCACTCAGCCTGCGTGATCCAGGAAAGGTACATCTACGTGTTCGGGGGCTGGGACACTCCGATCTGCTATAACGACATGTACATGCTGGACCTGGGTGAGGCAAACAGCTGCTGGGTAACACCAACTGCCAGCTCACAGGGGCAACCTATCATGAGCTAAAATGCTAAAATTCTCCATGTCGCTGTGTTTTTAAGGTCTGATGGAGTTCTCCGTTGTGAAAACGTCGGGAAAGGCTCCTTCGCCTCGAAGGTACAGTTACAAAGTAATAAAAAGGGAGTGCCATTAAAGCTACTCTGTATAATTTTCAACGGCATCTAATGATCAGACTCTGCCTCTCCCCTCCAACAATATGGAGGCTGTCACGGTTCAAAAACTCTTCCTCAACGTCCGCTTTACCTATCTTGTCATGAGGCTTCTTTACATTAGATTGCAGCATCTAATCCACGAGTTCTACTCCATAAATTAGGAGATGACTAAGTATCATGAATTGACCACTGGTTTAGTGAAGGGGGCCACAAAGACGAGCTTTTTAAATCAAAATGGAAGACAGAGAAAATAATGTTGACAAAAGGATAAAGCTGCAAAGGCTCTAAAGAGGATTGTGAGTGGCTTTTATAAAAGCTGTTTTAATTTAGCCCTAGAAAGACTGTTTCGTATCCTACCTCTCTACCTCACTCTACCCTGCCTTCAGACCTCTCTCTGCCCGGCGGACTAATCGGATCTTCGCCGTTCTGCTCCGATCCTCCGCTGTTAGCCTCTAGCCATCTTTCCCAGCAGGCCTCTTAGAGCTGCCAATGTGCAAGGGCAGGAGAAAAACACAAGTCCACTCAGAAAAAACGCAACAACCGGTGATTTTTAAATCAGTCCTCTTCATAACAACCAGGCATTAGCCAGTTGTTGCTGATGTAGGTCTAATTTACGTACATCATTTTATAAACAGTGTTTTATTGGTCTGTGTAGGATTGCATATAGGCCAACATGCTGCAGTCCCATTTGAGCATAATGAGCTCTACTGTCACTAGTTTGTCTGCTCTGTGCTGCCGTATTACAAAGGATGTCTGCGCCACAAATGGAAACCGGCTCCTATCCATTTATAAATAACAATTTCTAAGGCAAGTTAAACACAAAGATTGACACTTTCGGTTCATATTTGATAATAAATAACACGCATGTAGATTATATATACCATTTATGTCAGTAAATCCCGTACTGTACCTTTTAAGTTGCAACTTTTCATCATCATCAACAGGTGTAGTCAGACAATCTGAAATTTAAAAAATACTGTGTTGGGAGGATTTTTAAACTGAGAAACGAACATCTGTGTGTTGCAGCTGGCATGGCAGCGCCGTGCTTTCAGAGAACAAGTTCCTGATCCATGGTGGCTACAACGGAAACAACGCCCTCGGCGACGCCTTCATTTTTGATATTGGTGAGCAGTGGATTTGTTACCCTGATCTGCAGAGATTTTCAACGTCTGGATTATGATCTAAGACTCTTTAACAGCCGATCAAGATTATTACAAGCTGTGTTTAGTGACTTTAGAGTTTGGCATTTCTTAGCAGTAGATTACTTTAATTCATCAGGCGCCTGAAGAAAGAATAAATTTGGGCCTTATTAAAGGAACATTGTAACTATTAGGAATAAACAGCAGAAATTGGATGGTTTGATTAAACATTTCTTACAGCATACAGTCTTAAAGCAGAATGGGCAAAGAGCAGCATCTCTGCCACCAAATCACTCCTTTGACATTTTTTTGGTTTTTTTTCTCAGACACCAACAGCTGGACTGAGCTGAAGCTCCCTCAGCTTTCCGTCCCCAGGGCGGGACACTCCATCATCACCATGGAAACGCCTGCTTGCCACGGTTATTCGGAAGAAAAGAGCTCAAAGAGCTCCGTCTCAAGTAGAACCCTGTTGGTGTTCGGAGGAGGAGACAACGAGGGAACTTTCTTCTCCGACCTGATCAGCATTTCTGTCGAGGAGCTGCTCGCCGCGGCGTGAGGACCACGACCTTTCAGTTCCCTGCTAGATCCTTTTTTTATTTTATTTTTTTACGGTGCTGAAAATCAATACAAATTTACAAATACCTGCAGGTGAGGTGTATATTTTATGCTAAAATCTGTTCTTTATGTCTAAATAAAAGAAATGAGTTAACATCATTTATGAGGTTTGAAAGTGCACTGGCATTGAGTTTAAACACAAAGTAAAAATGTTTTTACATATATTCTTTTTGTAAATATGTTCAATGTGTTGTGATATAAATAAACAATTTTTCTGTCTGGGTTATAATATTTAAACTACAGCATATTACAGCCAGATACTCCTCTGTTTTCTTTTCTTGGCTTTATTCTTAATAAATGAATATCTTTTATTTTTATCTGTCTTTGCCTTTTATTTTTGTACTCCATAAACTTCATTCATTCTTAGAGGCTAATCTAAGATCTGTAGCAGTTAACTACTCCAACCATGAGTAATAGCCCTGGTTGTTGATGTGGATGTTACCGCTAATCTTAGTCTTCCCTCGACCCCATTGATTGTCACCCTACTGTGAAAAGTAAGAAAAATGAAGCTCATGAGTGCCTAATGGAAAAAAAAATACAACCATCAGAATTCAGATGGCAGGCAACAGGAGGAATTGGTTTTAAGTAACTACTAGCAAGGAAGAGGTCAGAAAAAAAAGTGGCAGAAGATGATTTTTTGTACATTTTTTGGTTACACTGGACAGAAATATACTCTATATAAATTAGGCAATTATACAGAAATTTGTAATTTTTTTGTGGAAAGAATGAAACAAACCTGGGGCTGGGAGATATCAGAATGTGAGAAGATATAATTTAGAACTATTAAAGAGTCATCTACTGCCATAAATATCTTCCAAAGTGTAAAATTGTTCCTTTTTTGTGCCTTTTTTAGGTTTTGGGTTCGATTCCTGGCATGGGTTTTTTCTGCATGGAGTTTGCTTGTTCTCCCTGTGCATGCGTGGGTTCTCTCTGGGTACTCCAGCTTCCTCCCACAGTCCAAGAACATTACTGAGCAGGGGCGGAGCTAGATAGGGGGCCAGGGGTGGCCATGGCCACCCTTAACCAATCATTGGCCACCCCTACCATTTATTTCCCTCTAATACAGACGTTGGCACCAGTGATACTCTCAAGTGGAATATTCAAAACAATTAAATTTTTCATATATTACAAAAAACACTGTGGTTAATTATACTCATCAATATACTAACATTAAAGATGATAAACACAGAATTCATGCTCTTTTTAGAACTAGATTTTTAGTTATATGGGGTAAAGAGAAAATTATGTCTCTGCAAGTAATCTGGGAGTCTTCAGTGAAATTATAGATATATAAATATTTTATTAAAAATGTATTAAATAATCAATTCATGTAGATATTAGTACATCTAAATATCAATTTTATGCTAAAGGATTATTAATAAAAGGATGTAAGTTATGTCAATGGAAAAGATTTTCACCCCAGAACTCGAAACTAAAAGAATTTTATCCACTATACCTTTAATTTAGATGCCATGGTTGTTTAAATGTATGTGTCAATTTGTTAGCAAAGGCTGTAGGAAAGTATAGTAAGTCTTTATTTTGAAAATATGACCCTGAGGTTCTGCTGCTGATACACTTTCGGCCACCCTTAGTGTACATTGGTTATTGCCTGGCAACCCTGGCCAAAAATTTCCTGGCTATGCCTCTGCATGACTGTTAGGTTAATTGGCTGCTCTAAATTCTCCTTAACTGTGAGTGTGAATGTTTGTTTGTCCTGTATTTCTCTGTGATAGAGTAGCGACCTGTACAGGGTGTACCCCACCTCTCAGCTGGATGGATGTAAAGTTATTTATTTATTTATTTTTTTGTCTTAAGAAAACAAATATAGTATATAGTATATATAATATATTATATAACGTAATATAGGATAAATAAATACATAAACTCGAACAGACAACCTAAGCTGCCTTCCATACCACTAGGTGGTGGTAATGGATGCCTCCGGTTTATTCCAAAAAGCCCAACGAAGAAGAAGGAGGGAAAAGAAGAAGGATCCTTCCTGTAGCCGCGAGCTTCATGCTAGCGATTATTTTGCTTAGAATTAAGATTTTTTTTTTACTTTTACATGTATGTAGTGAGCCTTGTTGTTTTAGTAGGGTTGTTCCCTCTTATTTATTGTTAGCTTAGTCGCTGTTAGCATACGCCATTGTTTTTTGCATCAGTAGTTAGTAGTGTTCTACGTTCATCTGGTAGCATGGGCAGAAAGTGCAGTGTGCTGGGCTGCATTAGCTCTGTAGGCTTGCACATCTTTCCTCAGGACTTTAAAATTAGGCAACAGTGGTTGCGCTTAATCGGCCTGGAGGATGACAGTGAACTCCCGCCCGGCGCTGGTGTCTGTAAACTACATTTTGCCCGCGATTCCTTCGCCAACTTGATGGAGTTTGAGATGGGCTTTGCTAAGAGGCTAATATTAAAGCCTGAGGGAATCCCCACCCTTGCTCTGCCTGTAGTGAGACAAAAGCCACACAGACAAGTGTCAAAGCTGCCGACACTGCTGCCCCGCCCACAAGGAGATAACAGACCTGAGGTCAGAGAGCAGACTAATGACAGAAGCAGCAATGATATATATATATATATCTATGTGTGTATGTCTGTTTATATATATATGTGTATGTATGTATGTTTCTATATATGTGTATATATATGTTTGTACATATGTATGTGTGTATATATATATATATATATATATATATATATATATATATATATATATATATATATATAATGTGCATGAACATAATGTATATATATACAAATATATAAATAAACTCCGGATTTGTTTGCTTAATTACAACATCAATCAATTCTGTTTGGGTAAAAATGCATATTGGTTATTTATTCTCCAGGTGCACAGTATTGATATTTTAAAAACACTTTACAGTACAGTATTTTATTTGTTTATTTATTTTTATTTTTCAACTCTTTTAAGGTCCACATTTGTGTGACCACTTTTTCTATAATCTTTCTGCTGCTGTAACACCAGAATTTCCCCATTGTGGAACAATAAGAAGAAACCAGTCTAATAAATTTTCTATTCTATTCCTGATTTATCCATCCATTTTCTGTCTTGTTTATCCCTACTTGGATTGCGAGGGGTGCTGGTGCCTATCTCTAGCTGTCTATGAGCGAAAGGCAGGGTGCATCCTGGACAGATCACCAGTCCATTGCAGGGCAACACAGACAAACCACCATTCACACATGCCTAAGGAGGATTTAGAGAAGCCAATTAACCTAACAGTCATATTTTTGGACTGTGGGAGGAAGCAGGAGTACCCAGAGAGAACCAACACATGCTCAGGGAGAACATGCAAACTTGCAAACATGCAAGGCGGCAGTGCTACCCACTGCGCCACTGAGCCGACCCTGATTATGTCTATTTAGTACAAGTTATTTTGATCACCAACATCATGTTCATATTCCCCTCTTGTTCATAATATACATTGCTAACATCCTACACCATCATTAAGCCAAGTCTGTTTGCGTGCCAGCTTCATTTTTTTTTTCTTCAGAAATCAGAAATACACGAGAATATGTCACAAAAAATAATCTTGGTAGTAAATTGTACGTCTTATTATTTAATATTTATTTTTCCAGTCAAGAGCGACCAGAGAAATCGGCTGTCAGACAGATCACATCCTCACCAAACATGAATTCGTCCAGGCCAACTTGAAGCCTATTAGGAGAAGCAAAGGTAATTTCTTAGATTTTTTTCAAATCAGTTTTGACGTTTAGTCTTCTAATTGTTTTAACTGTTTATGCTATTTAAAGGTATAGTGGAGGATGTTCTTTTTCCGGGTGGATCATCTAAATAAGTGGTCCTCCTAATAGTCAATCACTCTGGTGATGCGTTTACGTAAGGCCGTCCTACACGCTCACCCATATTTGCACTTACTGGTGGTGAGTCTGACATAATGAAGAAATTGCGAATCTTCTTCTGGAAAATAAGCTGGTATTAGTGATGCAAACATCAACTTTTAAACAGATCATGTATCAGAAGAAATGGACTCGTGCACGCTCTCACATGCATTTAATTGGTGTTCCCTCCCAGGTGCGGGTACATGTTGTGCATGTGAATTTTTTTTTTATTTTAAAAAAATGTGCAAAAATCCTCCACTATACCTTTAACTTCTTATATATATTTAGATTTTAGTGTGTATTCAAATTGTTGCCGATCTAAACATGCTTTCTTGTGTTTTAATGGACACAGCCACCCAAGCCCGAGCCTTTAACCGGAGCGTTGCTTGTGAAACTGAGACTTTGATGGAAGCCCGTCTTCGTCAAGTGGCCTTTATGACTCAAAAGAGAAAAAGGTGTGAGATGTCAGCCTCTGACCCCATCTTAAATGTTAATGCCACTTCAAGCTCTGTGAACTCTACAAGGTAAATGCATATAAATGCAGTGTCCTTAGATTCGCATTTTTGGCTGGTTAATAATGCCTTTTGTTCTGTATAGCTCGGCCTGTGAAGTTCCTCCACACAAAAAGAAAAAGTACGTCGTTCACGAGGATCAGTTGCTCGGACTTTTTCAAATCTGTCCTGTGTGCACCAATCGCTGTACTGTGGACACCACCACGACTGGCTCACTGCTTCGTGTCACACAGCAATGTCCCGAGTGCGACTACTTCAACCAGTGGTTCAGTCAGCCTACGGTGGACAGCGCCCCATCATGAAATCTTCATCTCCGTTCAGCTGTCTTTTTCAACTAATCGCCACCTTCTCAGATCTCCAAGGTAGAGCAATAATAATTTGTGTTTGGATGTTGTTGTTGACTGATGAAATTAGTTTTCATACTGTAGTTCCTGGGAGCCTTCAACATGCAGCTACTGTCTGGTCAGTGCTTTTAAAGACATCAGGCTAACCCCCAGACTCCACATCATCTGTAACCGCTCCGCCCTGCTCACGTGCGTCGTGTGGAGCAGTTGCGCAGTCATGTTCATCAATGAGAACTGTTTCACATCCACAGCTACTCCTCCGCACATCACCGTCCACGTACCCATCCTTCACCGTCAAAATACAGAGCTGAGCTGTTCTTTATCAGTTGGAAGCCAGCCAGGTAAAGATCCACCATTGTAATTGCACCAAACAGAAAAAAGAATGTCAAGAGGATCCGGTTTGCCGAAAATACAGGGGGGCAAAAAGTATTTAGCCAGCCACCAATAGTGCAAGTTCTCCCACTTAAAGGGATAGTTCGGGATTTTTGACATGAATCTGTATGGCATCCCCATCACCAGTGTCATGCAATCACACTGATTGAGCAGAGTTCTCGTCCAGCTTTGGTCAAGCCAAAAGTAGTCTGGCAGGTTTGCTAGACCCAGCGAAATAAAACGTTTCTCTTCCCAAAACATTATGTGTTCAAAAGAGTGATATTTTTGCATCCCAAAAACATTGTAGTGGAAAAAGTCACACGTCGTTATCACTTGGTCCTATTTTCTCTCTGTTCGTATCAGTGCGCGCCGTCATTCTGACAGCGAGCTCAACAACAGCCAGATGCGTGTCTCGCTCCGCCTAGCTAGGAGCTAGGCGGAGCGAGACACGCATCTGGCTGTTGTCAGGTTAGTAGGCCCTAGCTGTCAGGTCATGGTGTCGCGCGCACTGATACGAACAGAGAGAAAATAGGACCAAGTGATAACAACGTGTGACTTTTTCCACTACAATGTTTTTGGGATGCAAAAATATCGCTCTTTTGAACACATAATGTTTTGGGAAGAGAAACGTTTTATTTCGCTGTGTCTAGCAAACCTGCCAGACTACTTTTGGCTTGACCAAAGCTGGACGAGAACTCTGCTCACAGGATGCTGCCAGGGGTAAATCAGTGTGATTGCATGACACTGGTGATGGGGATGCCATACAGATTCATGTCAAAAATCCCGAACTATCCCTTTAAAAAGATGAGAGAGGCCGGTAATTTTCATCATAGATATACCTCAACTATGAGAGACAAAATGAGAAAAAAAAATCCAGAAAATCACATTGTCTGATTTTTAAAGAATTTATTTGCAAAATATGGTGGAAAATAAGTATTTGGTCAAAGCTGGATTTTATTTTTGTAATCCATATCAAACAATAAAATAATTGACAATATTGGGGTCAATTTGTCACTACCAGGTTTTTCTTGTGTTTATTGTAAAGTTTGTCTTAAATTTTTGTTTTAAGTGGCATTCAAATGTCTTAAAAAGTCTTTAATTTAACTTGCCTTATGCTGTAGGAACCCTGTATCCCTATTACAAAGATGCACAACGAAAACAAAATGTTTGGGGCAGAAACATGTGGGATTTATGCTGATGTTGAGTTTTAATTATGTCATATTGAATTTAGGGTTCATTACCACATGTTTTTCTTCTATGAATTAGATACCGGTAATAATATTGCGCATGCTCTCCTCGAGTTCCAGGGAAGTCAGAGCGGAGCAAGACGGGAGGAACCAAAGAAGCTGTAGGCTTTGATTTGTCTGGATGGGAGCGGGCCGGAGCGGTTACTTAATTAGGTTCATTAGCTCAGGAGGCTGAAGCAGATACACATGGAGAAAATTGTTTCATTAAATGTTTTACTAAATGAGGGTTAACAACAGCTTTGTCAGCATGTGCACACATTCAGAAAGAAAACAAACTACATAAAAATTTCCCCTTTCAAAAATCATACTTGCATATTAAATCCTCCCTGAAATGGAAAATGTAAAGTGCACCATGTTTTATCAGTCAGTATTTCATTGCTAGTAGGCAAAAATAAAGCCAGTAAACCGACTAAGGTGAAGTCTTTGATGATCCTCTTTAATAAAACAAGAATGATGGACGTCCTCGTTGCTCAAAAGATACACAAAAAAAAATTCTAGAAAAGGATTACCGGTATATTGTTCATTTTCCTTTGAAACCGGAAAAGTCCGAAAGCCTTTTAGAGTTCTAATCTACAATGATTTACATATTCAATTTCTACAGAGATGGGACTGATTTACTTGTTTATGAGATGTTGTACTATTAGATCATTGTTAAGCAAGTAAAAAAAAAAAACAAAAAAAAACAACAAAGGTTTTGGTTTTTAATACAATAAAATCCAAACTTTTGCCTCCCCCAGTGCAATGAGTTATTGACATCCAGGTAGACCCGGCAATACATTATTCAAGGAATTAATCCATATTTAATTTGGAATCACACAGTAAAATTCAGAGTTTTGTTCTTATTTTTTTAGAGTAATGAAGGTGGAAACAGGATCCATATGGAGAAGGGATTTTTGTGCAGCCTGAGCTTCCTTGGAGAGAGCGATGTGAAGCTGCAGACCATCATCACCGACGGACACACCACGGTGCAAAAGCTTTTAAGGAGGAGAATAATAAAATTGCTCACTATTCCAACCCCTGCCACACACCAAGGGATATGCATTTTGGTAAATGCTGTGTAGTATTAAGGGCCGGATCTATCAAAGGTTTGCGTGTATAAAAGCGTGATCTATTTCACTGCGCACGCTAAAAAATGTACAAACTGATCTATCAACAGCGTGCTAAAAGGATTTGGTCTTTAAAACGTGCTAAATAGCGCCTCTTATCCATTTAGTACTTTTTCTGCAATGAATATGCAATATGGGGCGTTTACACGCAAGAGTGCGTCTTGTGGGAGGAGAACATGTAAATATATTAATTTAGCACTCGCAAAGTGATTTATCAAACCTGAAAGCAAGTTTGCTAACGGTATCTGACTCTATATTTAACACGTTGCAAAAGAAGGTGCAAATGGTCTGTATGCGTAATTGCGCACACATGGCAGCGGTTATTGTCGCAAGAAGGAGACATCGAAATGAAGCAAGGAGACGCAGAGAACGCATTTTTTCACTCCGTGTGAATTTTTTTGGAATGAACGAGGAAACGATCATCAAAACATATCGTTTATCCAGCATTGCCATTTTGGAGCTGTTGGGGGAACTCAGAATGGATTTGGAGCCAGCCACAAGGAGGACTCACGCAATACCAGATATCACAAAACTCCTTGCAACGTTGCACTTTTTTGCATCTGGGTCATTCCAGCGTACGGTTGCAGCGAGAGCTGGGATCTCCCAATCTCGTTTTTCAGAAGTGCTGTCCGACGTTCTAAATGCCATGTCGCCCTGATGCCCTACCAGAGAACCCCGACCTCCCCCCTGCGCCTGTGGAGCAACATGCCAATGCTGCGGGGATGCGTACGCGCAGTAATCTCATCCACAGTCACTTCTTGTGAGCCATTTGGTATGTGCATTTTTCTACAGGCCAATACAAAACACCTGTTTTTTTTTGTTTGTTTTTTTACTGCATTGAAGTAGAAATTTAGCCACATACCACCTTAGGGAATAAAGGTTGCCAAAGTTTTTTATTTATTTATATATATATATTATTTTTTTTGGAGGGGGTGGGGGTGTCACTGTAAGATTAAAATTTCTTAATGCACTAGTTTGTACAAACTACAAACTACTTTGCCGCAAACCACAAAACGTCTCCAACAGTTTTGCACCTGCCACCAGTTACGCAATCACTTGTTAAATCACCCGCAAACCATGGTTCAGCCCCTCGCGCAAAATTTCAGTTTGCGAGCGCAAATTACTGCACGCAAAATTGGATCTTGATAAATCCGGCCCTAAGTGTTTTGTTTTAAAGCATTTCAACACAACTGCTTCAACACATCCTTTCTGTCCCAGAGAATTCTATTGAAACGCCCAAATTCACAGTCATCTCTTTATTAATGTGCATCACATGATGTTGAGTTATAATTCATATTTCTTTTTCATCCACAGTCTTAACAAAGGGAAGCCATGCATCGTCACAAATTCAACAAACACCTACTGAAGTTATTCAACCATCCAGAAGAGGAAAAGAGCCTGTTTATTTACTGTGTTCTATAGAACTCTGTGGATGATATGGCAGACCTCATTTCTATGTGCTACATGTAACACTTTCATTGTCTCCCCTTAATTTAATAAGACACACCAGTTATGGCTACCTACTGGTATAGGTTTTAAATGAATTATAATTAAACACTTGATCTTCATGATTTGGATTTTTTTTTTTATTTTTACATTTCTCTTTTTTCTACAGAGTATTTAATAAGAGTTGCTACATATAAAAAGAATCCATTACTTATTAAAACATTTAGAATATGATACTTTTCACTCATTACAATTAAAGATGTGGAGAATCACTGAAAAAGAAATGCAACTATTTAAAATGTAATACTTATATAATCAATAATCCAATTTGACAAGCGCTTTGTAATTCCACATTTTTAATTATTAAAAGAGGAATTGTAAAGTGTATTTATTAAATGATAAATCATAAATACCTTTATCAAACATTTGAAAGGGTAATTCCTGTTTCTATTTCCATTTTATTACATTTTTCAAATCCTTTGTGCAGTTGCATTTATTTTTACCCTCTCCATATATCATTTGTGTTGCCCTTCTGGTTCCTCTGCAAATTATTAAGTTTCCCCATACTCACTAAAAATTCAAATATAAGAAGCTCTCATAGGTTAGACGACCAGCCTTGGATCACAACATGGTGGCTATAATCTAAACCTTTTTCTAAAAGAAAAATGCAAGGAGATAGGGAAATTGGAAATAAAGTTTTTAATTGTTTGATAAAGAAAGATATTTATCAGATCTATGTATTAAGGATTTTAGAAATTGAATTTAGAAATGGGTTTTTAATATTCATTTTTGAATTGCAGTATTTAAAAATGGGTTCATAAATACTATTTTCAACTAATTTTTAAAGATTTTATTTAAAATGCACAATTATTTCATTGACTCTCCCTGTCTTCCATTGTTTTTTTGTTGTTGTTGTTGTTGTTGTTTTTATCCAGTATAATGCTAGTCAAGTTTAGGGTAGAATGTGACAAATTTCAAAACTTTATATATTTATTAAAACATAGAATTTTATCTTATCTCCTCTGAAATATATAAAGTATAACCCTAACTATATAAAACTGAAAGATGCTCATTTTTTATGATCAATCTATCAAATAAAAAATAACTCTCAAGAAGTGTTTTGTTAACATTATTTGAAGCCAAATTAATATTTTCCTGACAGACTGAGTGGGACATGTCTCACTGATTCCCTGCATGGACAAGTAACTAAACAGCAGGAGGTTCACAACAGCTGAATTTTCTTTGCTCTACTGCTTATAAATCCCATTTGGAACAGTGTGAGGATACATTTCCATCTGATTATTATCACTCTGCTAAGTTCCAGACAGCATCATTTTGAAATGTATCAAAAAGCAGATGATGTGTGGAGGTTGTCAGGATGGGAAGAAAATGTTAGCAAGTGTAGACATCTTTAAAAATGACTGAGCAGCTTCAGTCTAGCCTCACTTTGGCAGCATAAGGTAGATTGGGATGAAGGGAAGTGGCAATAGCAGCCCACCCAAGGGGATGGGTTAAATGCAGAGAGCAAATTCCGTTGCTCTGTACTTGTGACACTGAGTAGTCAGGGGTTTTGTTTTACTGTAATAGTTCTCCAGTGAAACTTGAAATAGATGAGTAGACAGACATTGTTTTATATTTCAGCACCCTGCAGATGGCGTCATTTTATCATATTTTCTTTAATAAATATGCTCTCACTTGAAAACTGTGTTGAAAAATAGGCCACATCTTGCACCAAAAATCCTAGTTTGTGTTATAATACAGACTTTTCAAAAATGCTTTAATGTTAAAGCTATTTTTGTATCCTCCAACCATATGTGGAAGGTGACTCCCCCCTTGCTTCACCTGGAAATCCTGCCAGTTGGATTCCCTCCCAGTTGTTATGAACCAGTCTCTCAGAGCCCTTCATTTCCTGAATTCTTCTTTTATTTTCTGCCTGTTACATCCTCTTATTGTGTGACTATTTGCGACTCTGCAGATCTCCCAGCTGACAGATCATACATCCTTTTTCTTTTCAGGGGAGGCCATTTTATCCCAGACAACCTTCTGTTGTTGCTTGGTAACTTCAACTTATCTCAGGGTGCTTTTCAAAACTACACACAGAGAAATAAAGGGGAATTTAAACTTTATTATTAGTGCAGCATAGGGCTCATATATCCTATTTACTGAACTGGACTTTAATAGAAAGATTTTAAATGAGCAGCTATGAATAAAATGCCAAGCCATGGCTGGGAGTGTACGTTAATCAGAAACATTAAGTTGCTGAACATTAAAATCCCTAATATTATTAGAGACTACTCCAGTATAATTTTATTAATTCCTTTTATCATCTTTTAGCTAGTAATTTTTTTTTGCAATTTGTTCATCTTTGTTCCTTAATCATCTGTATAAAACAAATGCCATGCACATTAATGATGCTACATAGTGAGCATAATGCAACTTGTAGCAGAAGATAGAAAATAGTCATTTAAATCTTTAATATTTCCAAATTGTGTGGATTTTTTTATTATTATTCTTTGTCTGTTTTCTTTAATATGAAAAGGTTGTGTGAAAAAAATGTATGGACTTATTGTGTTATTAAGATTTCATGAACTAATTATGTCTTTGCTAACTTGTTTTGAGCAGGCTAGCATTAACATTGGTAGGGTGCAGGCCACAAGAGTATAAAAAAGAGGTTTTAAGTACTTCCAAGAACCATATTTTTTGATTATGTATGATTCTTTTCACATATGTTTTGCTACGTGTCACTCATCTAGGCAGATAAATATTGTAGTGAGTGTTTTCAGTAAATTTTGATACTGAAATTACTGAGAAAGCGCTAGCATTATATTTAGGGAAATCTCCAGCAACAATGACACATATTTTCCTCAGCCAGTATTTGTGACATATACAAAACTAAAGCTATAGCACCCATGTTAAGAGACACATGAAATGTACTTTACTCCAATGAAAGCGTTTTTGTTCCTATTTATGTACAAGCATTAGCTTAGCAGGACAGCAAGCCAATACATGAAGTCGAGTGTGAAGTGAGCCATAGCTCCTGTTTGTTTTTGTTTAAAGGTTTTCAGGTTGTTTGCTGTGGACTATTTGAAAAGATAATTTGCCTTTCAAATTTGCAATTAGTTAACCTCCTAGAGGTAGTTCTTCCTACAATATGTCGTTAGTGAAGTGGGAATCCATTGACTAAGAGGAGCATAGTTATTTATTTCAAGTCAATTCAGTTTATTTATATAGAGCCAATTCACAACTCATGTCATCTAAAGGTACTTTGCAATTTAACCAGATCATACAGTCAAATTCATTTGAAGTTTTCTGTCTAAGGAAAACCAGTTGATTGCATTGACTCAAAGGCAATCCCTCAAGCATGCTTGTAGCGACAGTGGAGAGGAAAAACTCCCTTTAACAGGAAGAAACCTCCAGTAGAACCAGGCTCAGTGTGAACGGCCATCTGCAGAGGCCAACTGGGGTTCAAGGAGACAGAAGCAGACATAGAAAAAGAAGCAGAGATACAAAAAGCAATTGTCAATCAGCTCCACAGGCCGCCCGTCCAGGAAACACACAACCAGAAAGACGAGCTCAGAGCCAGCTCCCATGTCAGAGGATGAAAGAGAGCACATCCAGCCATTCACGGTCAGAGAAACAGGACTACACTGAAAAACAGACCAAGTTCGAACACCTATAAACAAAGGTGTTGATGGCAGCAGCACAGCTGATACTTCTGTCCAAGATGGTGTCACAGACAAACCGGAACAGACCAGCTGAAGCTAGAAAAAGCAGAGATATCTGGAAAGTATTATTCTATGTAGTATTTGAATCAGACAGGATTCACTTTGTAATGGATGTAGCTTAGGAACTGTGTGATTTTTTTTCTATCTTAGAAGTATTTAAACATATAATGATGAGTGGTATATTGCTTTACATAATACACTCCCTGAGAATCAATCTTTAAAATAAGTGATTCATTGACCACCAATCAGCTGACCATGGTAATAACCTGGTGAAGCTGAGAAAACCGAAACAAAGATTGGATCTTAGAAATACTGCAGGAAACAAACTGGTCTCCTGCAAAACTATGAAGATTTTGTGCAAACAGAAAAATATGTTATTATTTTTCCAGTTACAACCCTGGAAGGTTAAGTAAACATTTGTGTTCTGTTTTCCAGGGGTTCATTCTATATAGAGCCACTCTTTTCTGCAACTTCCGCTGCAAGTTTACAGCGTGTCTCTAGCTTTGCAGTAAAATAATGAGTTTGATCCACTATGCTTTACTAAATAACTTAAGCTCAGTAGAGACTGATTAATGGGTTCTGTTAACTGGCAATCCTTGCAACAGATTCTCAGTTTGATTCTGGTCTTATATTTGTATTGGACAACCCAACCTCTTTTAACTTCTAAGAGAAAAAATGCATTTCTATGAAACTGACTTGGGTTAATGTTCGACTGGAAGGTAATCGTCTGCATCAGCCTCAAACATTACATTCAGGATTTTCCTGTATTTCAGTTCAATTCAAAAATACTTTTTTGATCCCAAAGGGAAATTAAATGTTGTTATGACTCTCGGTTTGTTTGTTTTTTGTTTTGTTTTTTAGGTCCATTCATCTTCACAATTTTTTTTCAAACTTTTCTATCTAAGCCACAATACCGAGTTTTGCATTTATATGATCAAAACTCTTTGTTAAAATGTTTATTGTGTACCCTTTGACCCAGATAGCCTTAATGGTAAAGTTGCATTGTTCCACAAACTGTCGTTCATTTGTGTAACATTGTGGCTTGTTTGTTAAAACAAAGACAAACTAAAGGTATGTATTTTTTTCATAAGGAGGAGTTAATGGGGAAAACTATGTTTACCGGTAATGTATAAGGTCAAAAACAAGTATGTAACTTTTCAAATATCTGACTTCTCTTTTGCCCCCCATATAGTTAGAACCTTTTTGTTGACATGTTAGTACTGTTTGTATTGGTTTTAAAGCCATCAGTTAATTACAAAAAAAGATTCTGTCAATATTCAAT